TCCTTATTATCATCTTTAAAACCTTGACTTGATATATTTGAAATCAACAAGTTTTGAATCTTTGGATGTTGATAAAATTTCAAGAAATCAGTAGCATCTTTTGAACCAAATGTTATCCTGTACAGAATCCCTGGAAGTAGTACCACAGACGAACTAGTCAACTTATAAACCGGTAACGTAACCTTCTTTTGCGGGAACTGAGCCTGATGGTCCAATTTAGCTCCCATTTTGTCTCGAATGTCTTGTAAATTCCTTTGAGATTCAAAATATTGCCACTAAAATTTTAAAGTAATTGAAATTGTTATCTCTAAAATCAAAAAATCAAAACACCAAAAATCCGGTTTGGTGGGGAATTTTTTAACTATGGGATTATGTAAGAGTTGTATGCGCTGCTGAGTAATCAGTATAAGTAAATTAATTCAAATTCTTTATCAAATCAAGTCAATTTTATAAGTAAATGATTAGGGATGTCTTGAAATTACATATTCATTTTGAGAAGTTTAGTATCAAATTATATATATATTCACTATTAAACGGTAATTGAAGAAAGAAATGATCAATTGTTATTGTATGAAATTGTATAAAGTTGTATTGGTGTTCAGTCTATGTTTCAAACATAAGTGTATTCCTCTTTGTATGGATTATCACCAATGATTTTCCTATACTGTGATTTATCTGCAGGAACTTCACTATAAATTGAAGAAGATTGATCAGATTCATGATATTGTTTCAATTCCAAACAAACATTATCCAATTGTTGAGAAACAGTTTTATTAATTTTGGCTTTGTATAATAAATCACCAGCTTCTAAACCTTCTTGATTATCATCATCAATTGTAGCATCATATTTGAATTTTTTTGTTGAGGATCCAATTAGTGGACGTTGTTTATAATTTGTATTAAATTTAACTAATTTCATCCAAAATGGTTGATTTCTTGTTGAATGATCTTGATTGATGTATAAATCCACAATATCTAAAACATCATTTGCTCTATAGTTACCAGCTATAGCCTCTACTCTATCTTTTAAAATCAAGGTTTGTCTTTTAGTTTTTTCTTTAGCATCTTTAAATGTTTCTTTTTGAATTTCCCAATCATGATGATAAAGTTGTATTAAATTATCTAGGAAATCAAGCATTTTGAAGGGGTTTTTAGTGTTAGCTTTGCTTTGAATATCATTATTGAATACATAGAAGTCTGAAATATATTATCATTAGATATATATAAGTATTAGCATTGATAAAATTTTAAACTTCTCATTGATGAAGATCTCATGGGTATTATTGATTGAAATACCATATTGTAGATCGATTTTGCAAAAAAACCCTTACAACTGACAATCAAATATTCTCATTAGAATACACTCCAAAGTGATCAATCTCTAATTAAGACTTTTCTTTAGTGACTTTCTTTTCATTATAAATTGTGTCAAAGATAACTTTTACACAAATCCGATCGGAAATTTGTTTCTTTAATTTTTGAATTTTTGAGGAATTGATTCAAATTCCAAAGAACCAAGAAACGATTTCAATATTCAAACTTGATTTGATCAAAACATCATCAAAATCAACTATAAAAGATTTAAATAATGGCTCATCTACAAGAGAAAGGAACCTTCTGGGGCAAAGTACGCTCTTCAACAAACAAAATATCTTCATCATTGGCAAATTTATCAATAAGATCAGAACATGATGGTGATAGTGTTAATTCAACATTGATTCACACAGCTTTAGTGAACCATTACATCAAAAAGAATGAACAATTTCCTTCATGGCTTGGAGAAGAACAACATGAACCTCAACAAAGACAACAACAACAACAGCAACAACAACAACAATCAAGTCAACAATCTTCAGTCCAAGAACAAATTAGACAACCAGTTCATACACAACGATTCCAACCTCAACAATCTCATCAACAAGCTGGAACTTCAAGATTTGCTAGTCGGTTCCAACAAGAACAACAGCAACAACAACAACGTCAAACCAACCAATCACCTCAATTGTCCAGTAGATTTGGTTCTTCAGTGGATAGTTCGTCTGCTGGTTCCAGATTCAGTGGGAACAGTGGGAACGGGCATGGGCTTCCGGGTGGTGGACCTCAAAGAACAGACTCTTCGAGTGGGAATGCTATGAAAGATAGACTAAAGAGAAACAACTACAGAAGTAATTTCAACGTGTGATTGATATTGAATACAATAAACAACATCTTTCAATTAAAAACTGATTTTTCTTTCCTTTGTAGTTCAAATGTTTTTATTCTTCGTTTTAGTATGGCGCGAGATAACCAAGAGTGGCTTTTACCGCCAATTGATTGTTGAAAACATAAAAACAATGGAAATTCTAATAATTTCAAAGAGTCAAAGAAACAACCGCTGAGATCAAAAAGTATCAATTGCTAAAAAGAAATCATGGTTGGAAAGATCAGAATCGCCATTGACAGAGGTGGGACTTTCACAGACGTGATTGGGAACCCAGGAACAGGAAACCAACAAGATGATGTGATTATCAAGTTGTTATCAGTGGATCCTAAAAACTATCCAGATGCTCCATTGGAAGGTATTAGAAGACTATTGGAAATATTCACTGGTGAAACAATCCCAAGAGGTGCAAAATTGGACACTTCTCAAATCGAAAGTATTAGAATGGGGACCACTGTCGCTACAAATGCATTATTAGAAAGAAAAGGTGAAAGATGTGCTTTAATCACTACTAAAGGTTTTAAAGATTGTCTTGTTATTGGGAATCAAACTAGACCCAAAATCTTTGATTTAAAAATTAAAAAACCAGAAGTTCTTTATGAAACTGTTGTTGAAGTTGATGAACGTGTTACTTTAGAAGATTATGCTGAAGATGCTTCTGGTATTCAAACTAAAGCGAATGATAAAGATCTTATATTAGGTACTTCTGGTGAAACTGTTAGAATCTTGAAAAAACCAGATGTGGAATCTATAACTTCATCATTACAAGTTCTTTATGCTTCTGGTATAAGATCAATTGGTATCGCATTATTACATTCTTATACTTATCCTGAACATGAAAAAATTATTGGTGAAATTGCAACAAAAATTGGTTTTACACATATTTCATTATCTTCAGAATTAATTCCAATGATTAAATTAATTCCAAGAGCTAATAGTTCCATAGCAGATGCTTATTTAACTCCAGAAATTAAAAAATATTTAAATGGATTCACATCAGGTTTAAATTCACAAAATCAAGCAAAAATTGAATTCATGAAATCTGATGGTGGTTTAGTTGATGCTTCAAAATTTTCAGGTCTTAGTGCCATTCTCTCGGGTCCTGCAGGTGGTGTTGTTGGTGGTTCATCAACTTGTTATGATGGAACTCCATTAGTTCTTTTCGATATGGGTGGTACTTCAACTGATGTTTCAAGATATGGTGGTCAATTTGAACATGTTTTCGAAACTACAACTGCTGGTGTTACAATTCAATCTCCACAACTAGATATTAATACAGTTGCTGCAGGTGGTGGTTCAAAATTATTTTGGTCAAATGGATTATTTAAAGTTGGACCTGAAAGTGGTGGTGCACATCCTGGTCCTTCATGTTATAAAAAAGGTGGTGATTTAACAGTAACAGATGCAAATTTAATATTGGGTAGATTATTACCAGAATATTTCCCTAAAATTTTCGGTCCAAATGAAGATGAACCATTAGATGAAGATATAACTTTACAAAATTTTACCAAATTAACTAAACAAATTAATATTGAAAATGGTAGTAAATTATCTGTTGATGAAGTTGCTTATGGGTTTATAAAAGTTGCTAATGAAACAATGGCAAGACCAATTAGACAATTAACAGAAGCTAAAGGTTATGCTGCATCTCAACATCGTTTAGTTACTTTTGGTGGTGCTGGTGGTCAACATGCAGTTGCAGTTGCAGAATCATTAGGAATTGATACAGTATTGGCTCATAGATATTCTTCAGTTCTTTCAGCATATGGTATTGCTCTTGCTGATGTTGTTGAAGAAATTCAAGAACCTTCAAGTGCCATTTTAAATGAAAAAAATCAAAAATTGTTAGAATCAAGATTTGATGAATTAAAGTCAATTTCCTCAAAGAAATTAATTGCACATGGTTTTAAAAAAGAAGATATTTATTTTGAGAAATTTTTAAATTTAAGATATCAAGGAACTGAATCTTCATTAATGATTAGTCAAGTTGATGAAAATGAATGGGATTTTGAAAAAAATTATTTAACTTTACACAAGAGAGAATTTGGGTTCTTGTTTGAAGATAAAGAAATATTAGTTGATGATATAAGAGTTAGAGCTATTGGTAATACAAATAGATCTTTAAATGAATCAGTTGATGAACAATTATCAAATTTAAAAATTCAAAATGTTGATTCCCAAAAAATTAAATTTACAAAACAAGTCTTCTTTGAAGGTGGTCGTTTTAAAACTCCAGTATTTAGAATTGAAGAATTATCAATTGGTGATAAGATTAAAGGACCTGCATTATTAGTTGATAATACTCAAACAAATTTAATCCCACCAAATGCAAGTGCAACTATTTTAAAATCTCATGTTTTCATAAAGATTCATTCATCAGAAGGAACAAAAATTTCTAAATCAGATCAAAATCAAGTTGATCCAATTTTATTATCAATTTTTGGTAATAGATTTATGGATATTGCAGAACAAATGGGTACTCAATTAAGACAAACTTCAGTTTCAACAAATGTTAAAGAAAGATTAGATTTTTCATGTGCATTATTTGACCCGGAGGGAAGATTAGTTGCTAATGCACCACATGTTCCAGTTCATTTAGGTTCAATGTCAACTTGTATTAATATTCAAGCTAAATTATGGGAAGGTAAATTGAAAAAAGGTGATGTTTTACTTTCAAATCACCCTCTTGGTGGTAATACTCATTTACCTGATTTAACAGTTATAACACCTGCTTTTTCTTCTGATGGGAAATTGATTTTTTATGTTGCAAGTAGAGCTCATCATAGTGATATTGGTGGTGTTTTACCAGGATCAATGCCACCAAATTCAAAAGAATTATATGAAGAAGGTGCAACTTTTTATTCAGAATTATTAGTTTCAGAAGGGAAATTCAATGAAGAAAAAATAACCAAAATGTTATTACATGATCCTGCTCAATATGAAGGATGTTCAGGTACAAGAAAATTAAGTGATAATTTAAGTGATTTAAAAGCTCAAATTAGTGCAAATCAAAAAGGTATTAATTTAATTGAAAGATTAGTTGATGAATTCACTTATGATGTTATATTATTCTATATGAATGCAATTCAAGATAATGCAGCAAATACAGTTCAAAAAAAATTAATTGAAATTAGTGAAAAATTTGGTTCAAAAGAATTTGAAAGTGAAGATTTTATGGATGAAGGTTCCAAGATTAAATTAAAAATTAAAATTGATCCAAAGGAAAGTATTTTTGATTTTACAGGTACTTCACCACAAATGTATGGTAATTTAAATGCACCAGAAGCTATAACAAATTCTGCATTACTTTATTGTTTAAGATGTCTTGTTGATCAAGATATTCCATTAAATCAAGGATGTTTACGTCCAGTTAAAATCATTATACCTTATGGATCAATCTTATCACCATTGGAAGGAGCTGCAGTTGTTGGAGGGAATGTTATGACTTCACAAAGAGTTACAGATGTTATTCTTAAAGCTTTTAAAGTTATGGCTGATTCTCAAGGTGATTGTAATAATTTAACTTTTGGTACTGGTGGTAATGATTCAAAAGGTGAATATACTCAAGGGTTTGGTTATTATGAAACTATTGGTGGTGGTCATGGTGCAGGTGATGGATGGAATGGTATTTCTGGTGTTCATACAAATATGACAAATACAAGAATGACAGATGTTGAAGTTTTAGAAAAAAGATATCCAGTTATATTAAGAGAATATTCAATCAGAACTGGATCAGGTGGTGAAGGTAAATTTAAAGGTGGTGATGGTGTTATTAGAGATATTGAATTTAGAAAACCTGTTAAAGTGTCTATATTATCAGAACGTCGTGTTAATCAACCTCAAGGTATTGAAGGTGGTGAAAATGGTGAAAGAGGGTTGAATTTATGGATTAAAAATGATGGTCACATTATTAATATTGGTGGTCGTAATACAGTTGATATCAAAATTGGTGAAAGAATTGTTATTAAAACACCAGGTGGTGGTGGTTATGGTATTAAACCCGATAAATAATTATATATAAAATCTTGATCAATGAGATGTGTAAATAAGAATCAAACTTAAGTAAGAAAAAACCCACTACAAAGATGGACTTCTGGATAGACGCACATAGATTCTGCTAAGCTAAAGTCATATAGACATTGTGATTGTGTACTGTTCCTGAGAGATAATTATTATGAGAAGTTTCTCCATTAAATTCCGAATTTTTTGATGGAAAGGTTATATCCTTCAGCAATCCAAGTGAAGAGATACTCATGGTGATATGATATATGATGCTGGTAGTACTCACTGACGTTCAAGCTTCTAGTTAAAGTGAACTTTGAATAGTAGCTTAGCAAACTATGTATCCTGTCCTATTTGAACCAATTGATATGAAATATTCTTCTCACTAGATTAGTCAATTATAATATTCGCATATTTAACCTTAGGATAAACCAGCTGCTATATATTGATGATGATCCTTCCCACATATTACATATAGCTCTTAATTTATGGTAAAATAGCACTATTTAAATGGTTTCAAAGCTTAAAGACCGGCTTGCTAAAAATAAACTCATGGGTGATACTTTAACTGCAGCACAGATAAAAGGATATAACACAATTTTAAACTTGACAGATGAAGAGTTAATCGGAGCGCTATGTTTGGAGCCAGCAGAATATAAGAAGAAAACAAGTAGAATATATATAAGCAATGAATCTGACCGTTTTGCTGCTGGCCTATGTGATCCAAGAACTTCTTTTGAGTACAAACTGAACGAGATTTTTCAAATTGTGGAACCTCAAAATGTTGAATATAAGAGATTTGCCGTTAAATTAAAAGTAAAAAACCATCCTACAAAAGCATTGAGCAAAGGGGATATCAATAACATCAAAGCTTATCTTGATACACGTGAATCAGGTGAATATCTTAACATATTTATGAAACCAGATTTAGATATCTCAAAATTTTTAAATAATGTGAACAGAGTTGGTTCTATAAAATCTGATAAAGAAATAAATGATGATGTTTGCCAAATTAATAGTGAGAGAATTCCAAGAATTCTAATATTTGTTAGCAAACCTGAATTCTTTAGATGTTTCCTCAAATTATTAAGTTTCTATTCAAACTCATTGGAAGAAAGCTCAAGTTATTGTTCACGACATGTTTTGACTGGTAAAGTTATTCAAAGACAAGAATCAGATTATATGAGCATTAAAGAAACAGAACCTCATCGTAACTGTGCTTACTTCTTCAGGCCATTTAAATTGGACCATAACAAATGTATCAATGATGAGCTTTTAAAGAGCTTTTCAAACGTTTACGAAAACATTGAGCTTAGAAATCCTACATCAACTCATCATCAATTCTATTCTATATACGATATGGACTGTGCAAATGATAGGATCAATATCAAGACCAATGGTAACTTGAATGAAAAGGATATTTTACCAGAATATTCAAGCATTCAATGAGAGGATATAGCTGAACTAAATTTATATTTTTTCATACTAGCATTTTGTGTTATATATCTGAGACTATTCCCATAATATCAAGAAAAATCATGTTACAAGGAAGAATGATTCATAAAATTCCTATATATTAAAGTTTTTAGACTAGTACTTAAGACTCACTTTTATCAACCTGAACCTTAATATAGTAGTTTATCGGAGTACAATATTTCAATACGAATTGCCCAATTCGAACTGATCGATATTAGGATTTAAATCTCCTCAATGTTGTAAATATTAATTTTAATATTCTCACATTTAAATACCTCAGGACATCCACAGGCTATATATTTTGTTGATGATCCTTCCCACATACATATAGCTCTTAAATTATGGTGAAGTAAAACCATAGAAATGATTTCAAAGCTTAAAGACCTGCTTGTTAAAAATAAACACATGGGTAATAATTTAACTGCAGCACAGACAAAAGGATATAACACAATTTTAAATTTGACAGATGAAGAGTTAATCGGAACGCTATGTTTGGAACCAGCTGGATTTAAGCGTGAAACAAGCAGATCATATGAATGTCATGAATCTGACCGTTTCAAAGCCGGTCTATGTGATCCAAGAACTTCTTTCGAGTACAAACTGAACGAGATTTTTCAGATTGTGGAACCTCAAAATGTTGAATATAAGAGATTCGCCGTTAAATTAAAAATGAAAAACCATCCTACAAAAGCATTGAGCAAAGAAGATATCAATAATATGAAAGCTTATCTTGATACACGCGAATTAGGGGAATATATTAACATATTTATGAAACCAGATTTAGATATCTCAAAATTTTTAAATTATGTGAATAAAGTTGGTTCTTTAAAATCTGATAGAGAACTTGATAATGATATTTGCCAAATCAACAGTGAGAGAATCCCAAGGGTTTTAATTTTTGCTAGTAAACCTGAATTCTTCAATTGTTTCCTTAAATTATTAAATTTTTATTCAAACTCATTGGAAGAAAGTTCAAGTTATTGTTCACGACATGTTTTAATTGGTAAAGTTATTCAAAGACAAGACTCAGATTATATGAGCATTAAAGGAACAATACCTCATCGTAATTGCGTTTATTTCTTCAGACCGCTCAAGTACAGATGTGATATCAAATGTATCAATGATGAGCTTTTAAAAAGCTTTTCAAACGTTTTCAAAGGGGTTGACCTTAGAAATCCCAAATATGGTGACCATAGGTTCTATTCGATATATGATATGGAATGTGCCAATGATAAGGTAAACATTAAGAACAGTGATAACTCGAATGAAAAGGATATTTTACCAGAATATTCAAGCATTGAATGAAAGTTAGATGAGCTATCCATATTAGGTAAAATCAGAGATACACTGCCAAAAATACACGTGTCACCAACACCATATTTAAACTTGTATTAACGAGTCAAACTTCTCTTCAGCGGCTAATGATTCTTTTCTTCAATTGATCAGTCATACTTCAAGAGACAGACCGCCCAATAAGATGTCTAATAATCAAGATAATATCAATCAATCAAATGGTGTTTCAGCTGTTGACCGTTTCCTTGATATGATTATAGAAGGAATTGAATCTTTTACGGAAGTTATTGCATGGTATTCATATTATTCTTTAATTGGTATTGCAATCATAGGTTATATTGTATCCGGTATTTTAATTATGATTAGAAAATCAGTCAATTTTGGTCACTATAATGATGATGATTCTTTTGGAAAGATATTTGAGATTTGGTCTTTTTGTACTTCCTTCATCATGTTAGTTTATTTGCTTATGGTTGTAATATTGAAAGGTGATCTGTATTACACAGTAAGAATTCATGCTGGGTTGTTAATAATAGTTCATTTAGCCATTGGATATCTAGTTTTTAGACATTGTTTGTATTATAAAACTTATTTTATGTTCAGCTATGTTTGATATATGGAAATTGTTATAATGTTATATTATATTATTTATGAAAATTTTGTTCTTCAAATTAAATTATGATTAAATAATTCACTAAATGATTTCAAATTTTGAAAATTAACTCTTGACTTTTATGAATCTGTTGAATTTGACTAAAAGCTTTCAACATGAGTTATTTGAATTTTTGGAAAATGTACTGGTGTTCCAGGTGATTAGGAATGGCTAAAATGGTGTAAAAGAGAAATTGACCACAGGGAAGTGTAGGGACCAGCATTGGATAAAGCCCCAGTGTATAATGAGTGCTATAGTGGATCTTATGATTGTGTAGTGATTGTGATGAATTAGTATGGGAAAATATGAGTTTAAGTGTTATTAAGGTATGGAGCTAAATGCAAAGTTTTATAATAAGCAGTTTTTTTCATCTTTACCTTGTAAAATATCAATTGACTATAGATTGAACTAGATATGGTGAATGAAACAGTATATTGGCCTAAATAGAGGATCTTTTGCTCTTCTTCTGGCCATAAATGTGAAATGAACCTATAGTATATGGTATAATGAAAATAATCAAGTGGATACCAGTAAAATTTAAAATGGACTCAAGAGAGTAAGCTAGCATTTATGATAATATGGAGTTCCTTTGAATATTCATACGTAGTTAACGATAGTGATAATCATGCTGGTGTTTTAAATTGATATCTGTTGGTGTAAATTCAAAGTGTAAACATGTAAAGAAGTGAAATAATATGTTGGAAAGTCTTTGGTGAAGATCAACTACAAGTCTGAAAGATCACATTAAGTCATAGCAGTCTTTAAATTGATAAAAAGGATGGAAGGATAACTTTGGTGATTTAAAGATTTGTTCATTTGTTGTAACAAAGATTTGTATTAAAATTTTTAAAATTACCCCCATTCGAACCCCAAAGCCAGAAATTTCCACACAAAAATAGAAGTTAAGCTGGTATTTGAGTTAAGATGGCAATTCACCGAATGCTTCATTCATTCTAAATGCTTCACTCAACCCCAGCCAATCTTCACTCTTGGGTAGTCGTTCAATGTCTCTTCAAGTTCCAAGCTCACCAGTTGACAGTGATTTTAGCTGACCAACTTCAAGTCATATATCAAAATTGGTAAAGTATTGTACTCATATTAATCCTAATTTACAATATAGTATTCATAATGATACTTGTGCTTATTTTGGTATTATCTACTTCATTTCAGTTTCATAACATTTGAAGTCCTTCATTATCTATATTTGTTTAAATGTTCTCTGCCTAATTTCATTGTTAAGCACTTAACGGCTCTAATGATATTCTTGTGTGAAAATCATTAACTTAATTCAACTAAGATAATAACTGAATGACCTACTGAATCTAGAAGTATATTCTAGCACTTGAGTTTTTTACCTCAGAGCTCAGAGCCCACCAGTTATAAATTGTTTATGATTTCCCCAAATATTACATATAGCTCTTACAACATGGTAATGATTACATTATTCAAATGTTTTCAAAGCTAACAAGCCTCTTTACTGAAAATTTAAACTTATCTGAAATGAATGATAATCCAGAGGCACAGAGAGAAGGATATAACAGAATTTTAAATTTGACAGATGAAGAATTAATTGGAACGTTATGTTTGGAACCAGCTACAACTGAACCACAAGTAAGCAGAATATATCAAAGTTATCAATCTGACCGTTTTGTTGCTGCTCTACTTGATCCAAGAACTTCTTCTGAATACAAATTTAATGAGATTTGTCAAATTGTGGAACCCCAAAATGTTGAATATAAGCGATTTGCTGTTAAATTAAAGGTGAAAAGTCATCCTACAAAAGCATTAAGTGAAGAAGATATCAATAACATCAAAGCTTACCTTGATAAGGGTGAATCAGGAGAATACATTAACATACTTATGAAACAAGACTTGAATATTTCAGATTTTCTAAATTATGTGAATGAGGTTGGTTCTTTAAAATCTGATGAGGAAATTGATGATGATATTTGCAAAATTAACAGTGAAAGAATTCCAAGAATTTTAATATTTGTTAGCAAGCCTGAATTCTTCAGCTGTTTCCTTAAATTATTAAATTTTTATTTAAACTCATTAGAAGAAAGTTCAAGTTATTGTTCACGATATGTTTTGATTGGTAAAGTTATTCAAAGACAAGACTCAGATTATATGAGCATTAAAGGAACAATACCTCATCGTAACTGTGTTTATATCTTCAGACCACTTAATTTGGACTATTACAAATGTGTCAATGATGAGCTTTTAAAAAGCTTTTCAAATAGTTTCGAAACGGTTGACCTTAAAAATCCCAAATATGGTGACCATAGGTTCTATTCGATATATGATATGGAATGTGCAAATGATAAAATTAATATCAAGACCAATAACAACTTGAATGAAAAGGATCCTTTACCGGAATATTCAATTATTGAATAAAAGTCATATGAGCTGAATTTATACCAAATATACGTGATATTACTTTAACTTTTAAACTTAGATCAATAATACCCTGGATCCATATATTTTCAAAATTTCTTTATAAGTATTTACGTTCCTCGATCATTAATTACTCCACATTTGCTAGAAAAAACCTATATAAGAATTGAAAATAACTTAAAAACCTATTTCCTTCTTTACCATTCGCTGTATCTCATCAAACAATATATTTCAAGCTTATAGTTCAAAATGGTTTTCGATGGTATTTACAAGCATTTCAATAATGCAGATCAGTCAAACACAGTTTATAATAAAGGTGATGAAAAAACACAAAGTGGATTGAGAAAACATAGTTTAGGTAATAACAGTGAAAACTTTGGAGGTACAGCTGGTGGTGAAACAAAATCCAAATTTGATAAAGATGATTTGAATGAAGATAAGATCAAAGAACAAGCTGGTAAAGTATTTGAGAAATATGAAAAATGATTCAATCTGCAATTATACAACACTCTTGATACTTATAGCGTTTATGACTTATTTTATGAATTAATATTTAATTACAGATATATGAATCTATGATCTTTAATGGAAAAATTGTAGTTTTTTTTGTGTCAAGTAGGTAATATAAATCTCATCATGAGAATATTAATGCGATGACATACAAGCGTAATAATCACTAGCTGATATCAAGTTGATTTGAACACAGAAGACGTAATACTATTATAACAATTACAACATAATACATTCAATTGAACCTAATGAGTTATTTCGTCGTAGTAATTCGTTATAGTTTATAGAATTTCCCCGTAGTTAAGATAGATACAAGCAAAATTGCGCGAAGGAGAGCAACAACAAAAAAAAATGTCAACAATTGCGCTTATTTTAGTCAGAAACAACGTAATAGTGTCAAAAAGAGTCTAGGCTTTGTCTTTGTACTCGTGTTCTCCTTTTACACTGTATTATTGCTTTAATTGAGCTTTATCCGGTTGTTTTAATTGGGATTTGGGACATATTGGACACAGCAATTGTTTATGTCCTGACTCCTGACATCACAAAAGACATAAGGAGACATACTAATTTGAAATTTTGTTACAAATGTTGCCCAAATTAACGGTAGAATGTGATGATCTGAAATAACCGTTGAATTGGTGATGATTGAGGGATTGCATTTATCGATGTTTAGATATGAATTGAGATCAATTGAATATACTGATAGGTTTCTTTAAATGCTGGTTACAATTGAGTAGTCAATTGAGATGATACAATGATTAGATCAAAGGTTTATTAAACCATTAATGCTCAAAGAATATAATATAACCTGGGGTATTACAGTATGACACCCTTGGACGTTTCTTTTGAAAAGGATTATAAGGAATTTTTACAATTCTTGCTATGAATTTACATCAATTGTTGCACAAATGTCAAATATTCAATAGATCGATTAACCTTTCTAAATGAAATTATACCAGTTATACCCAAAATTACACCAGTTTACATTAAAAATTGTGGATATTTTTGAACAATGAACATTGTTATTAGCAACACTTCTCCTTTCTTTTTGTCCAAAGCCACCATATACTTTAAAGTTGATTGTTATAACACATCAAGACAATATTTAGTTATGAATGAAATTAAACGTGATGGAATTAAATCATATTAGCAATTTAGCAAATTTAAAGAAGCTTTAGAAGGTTGATACCTGAAATTGAAATCATGTCAATTCAATTATAAAAGGAGATCGATATCTCATCTTTAATCCAACATCTAAAATTCCTTTTTAATACTCATCAACAAAGAAGTTAAATATTTATTCAATTTCTTTATCAATCAATTTTTACAACTAAATCAATTCACAATGTCAAACTTTATCGATAAATTATCAAACAAAATTCAAGGTAACGAAGGTCAAGCTGGCTCAAACCAATATGCTAATGATCCTTCAACCCAACAAGCTGGTACTCAAAGAGCTGGTCAACAAAACTTAGGCTCAAGTGCTGCTGGTAGAGATCAACAAATCCCAACTGGTGCTCAACAAGATGCTTATGGTTCATCAGGCTCAAACTATGGATCATCAGGTGCTAGCCATGGTGCTACTGGTAGAACTGGTGGTGGTGTTGGTGGTGTCCAACAAGATGCTTCATATGGTGGTGCTGGCTTGAACAACCCAGGTGGTGGTACTTATGGTGCTGCTTCAGCTCAATCTGGTCAATATGCTGGTCAATCTGATCATGTTCCAGGTACTAAAGCTTCATCAGGTACAGGTGCAGGTGCTACAGGTGCTTATGGTTCTCAACAAGCTGGTGGCTCCCACACTGCTTCACAAGGATTAGGTCAATCTGGTTATGGTGGTTCATCAGGATCCACTGGTCGTCATGGTGCTTCAGGTGCTTCAGGTTTAGATGATGATTTAAGTTCTGGTAAACATTCAGGTTCAGGTGCAGGTCGTCAAACTAGATCACAAGCTGCTGGTGGTGCTTATGATGATTCAACTTCATCAGGTCTTGGTAACCAACAAGCTGGTGCCGGTTCACATCAATCTTCAGGATTAGGCGGTGCTGGTGGTGCTGGTGGTGGTTCATCAGGTGGTAACTCCAAATTTGCTCAACAAGCTGAAGAATTGGGTAAAAAGGGATTTGAACGTGGTGTTCAAGAAGGACAAAAATATGTTGGTAGAAACTTATAAGCTTGATGCTTGTAAAATATCAGCATTATAATGACTTTTATAACGATTTATTATGATTTTTTCGATTCTCAAGTCCTAGGATTTTTTATAACTTATGAATGAAAGAAATATTTGATTTATTTTGAACTGTAGTCGAATTACAATTGAATTAGCTATGATGGATCATGATATCATGATGATAATGTTTTGTCGAAGCTATTTGCTAGACACCCAGGCTTTATCTGGTCAATTTCCGTTTCGGGATATTTAAGGATAGTTTTTTACGCTTTATCAAAAAATCAGTTTCCTAGGAAACAAAAAAAGATAACTCTGAAACGTTCTTCCAAAGGTTATTCATCAACAAACAGTTGATTTTAAAACTGATGAAGGTAGCTGAAAAGGGTTTATAGATTCTTAAAAGAAAAGAAGATTAAGATATACAGAAGAAACTGAAATATTATGAGGCTCAGAAATATGCTTTTGGTCTTTGAGGATCTAATAGAAAGGGGGTTTCCTCTTCACCCGGATGCTCCAAATCGTCCAGAAGACTTCTTGGATTCTGAAGATGAAGATGATCCATATGTTGACTCTTATTATGATAAATCAGTTTCACCTGGGGAGAAGAAATATGTATTAGATTGTGAAATGATTGAAACTACATTTGGAGATGAGGTTGCCCGAGTTACACTTATTGATTGGAATGAAAATGTCTGCATTGATAAACTTATAAGACCTAGAGGAAGAATAATAGATACAAGGTACCACATAACAGGAATAGAAGAGTCAGACTTACTTGAATCAGATTACACATTACAAAGAATTCAAAAATTAATCCTAGATATATTTTTAGATGCAAATCACATTCTTATAGGTCATGCACTTCATAATGATTTAAAAGTATTAAAACTCAGACATCCAAGAATCATTGATACACAAGACCTTTATCAGCATATATATCAACTGAGTTATGTCCCATCTTTGAGATCATTAGCTTGGAAATTCCTTCATGAATCAATACAAAATAATGGTCATGATTCAGTTGAAGATGCACTTGCAACTCTACACTTGGTTAAAAGATTCGAAAGAAATATTAAATTGAGATACTAGATCATAGATAGAAGCAAATACCGTTTCTAATTAATTATGAAATGTATTATTAAATTTTTCTATTGTTAAATTTTGATGTTGTTTTGTTTACGCCAAATGAGGTTATACCACTAAAATGATTTTATCGTTGTTGACAGATCAGATAAAGACGACCAAACTTTCGAGAAGTTTACTAGAATTTCACTTTTATCTCTTTCTCTATTGTTATCAATTATTATAAATTATATGAAATCAACTGGAAATATAATTAGAATAGCAAAATGGTCAGTCCAGGAAGACGCTTGAGGCAATTACTTTTGACTTTTGATGATATGATGAATAACGGACAATACCCAATTCATGCCAATGTACCTGGTAACGAATATGGACAAGAATCAGTAGGGACTTTCATAGTGAGTCGTTATTATAATGATAGACCTACTTATTATGCATTAGATTGTGAGATGGTGCTAATGCAAAACAATACAAGACAAGTTGGTCGTGTATCGCTGGTTGATAGAGATGGTGACGTTGTTATAGATGAATATGTTAGACCAAGAGGACCTATTAAAAGTTTGTTAACTCAATATAGTGGTATTACAAGAGCAGATATGCAAAATGCAAGATATACTTTGGGACAAATACAAGCTAGATTATTAGATATTGTTGGTGAGGATGATATTCTTATTGGTCATGCTATTCATAATGATTTAAAAGTGCTTAGATGGAAACATCCATTGATTGTTGATACAGCTGATGTGTTTTGGGGTGATGGAATCAATAATCAACCTCCTTCCTTAAAGAAATTAGCAGCAATGTATTTTGACATAAATATACAGAATGGACCTCATGATTCTGTTGAAGACGCAAGAGTTGCTTTAGATTTAGTTAAAATGGAAATGTTCAATTAAACTCTATAAATATAATATGGACAATATATATGATTACACCTTTATATTTAAATCACACGATTATTCGAATAGTATTGATAAAACGAACAAAAACTAAAAAGTGCCCCTTAAAAGTTTTCTTGTTCAGGAGCGCTAATATTCAAAATTAGAGTTTCAAATCAATCCTCAGGCTTGTTGACCTACAAAACATACAATTAAGGTTCTTTATCACTAAAGAAACGAGAAATAGGGGATTACTTCTTGACCAAGTATTGCATTTGTAAAGTGAATTAATACGTATATATAGCTTCATTTTCCCAAATTTTGAGAATCCTTAATGAAGCTTTTATTTATAAGGAGATAAAACTATACCACCATACCACCCACTAAATGACTGTTGATTTTGATCACTATGCAATTGCTGAAAAATTAATTTTGACTTATGATCAATTATCCAGAAGAAGCTATCCAGTTCACTCTAAGGTGCCGGGGTTTGAAGGCAATCCAAAAATTTTAGGTTCCATCTGCCTTGATTTGAGCATTGACGGTGAATTTGTTGAAACATTTAGAAGTTTTTGTACAAGAGAGCCCAAAATTTTCGCTTTGGATTGTGAGATGATTCAGACCAGTTACTTGACAAAATCAGTGGGTAAAGTAGCAGTGGTTGATATCAATGGCAAAAGAATTTTAGAAGAAATTCTTTTTCCAAATGACCCAATGTATTATATGTCCAAAAAGACCAGATATTATGAAGAAAACTTTACTGTTAAAAGCTTTAAAAAGTTACAAAACAAGTTATGCAATATCATTGGTGTGAACGACATCCTTGTTGGTCATGCTTTACAAGGGGATTTGAGAGCATTGAAGCTAAGACACCCTAAGATTGTGGATACTAGAACGCTTTATGAAGATGTATCTTCTCCTAAATCATTAAAAAGTTTGGCTGTCGTGTATTTAGGTGAAAACATTCAAAGGAGCAAAAGGAAACATGATCCTGTTGAAGATTTCAGAGCTTCCATGAGCTTATTTAAAAAGTTCTGCGTAAAATCAAAAGCTAAAGTTATCAAAGATCAAGAACATCCTTCAAGTATAAGTTAAATAGTAAAGACCATGAATTGGCTGCAATTTCTGAAATAATATCGTAAGCTCCGAAAAGAGTAAATACCTAATTTGGAAACTAGAATGATTTTATTTTACCTATCAAATATTAACTTCATTCAAAATAAACAAAAACAACTTCTTAATTCACACCATCAACTAAAACAAGATAATGATCACTAAATTTCAATCAAATGGGTTCTGAGCGGGATAACTATGAGACTCTTCTCAATCTTAAGATCCCATTCTCGCAACCGCCCTTCAGTTTTTTATTTGCAATTCATACAGACGCTTTGAATTTACCGCCACTTTACCAACCATTCAAGGGATCACATTTAGACAATTGGCCACGTTATGTTGAAACTACGCTCCCAGTTGCATCTCATACTCCCACTTATTATGCTTTAGATTGTGAAATGGTCCAAATGGATGATCTTTCCAAACAAGTTGGTCGTGTTTCATTAGTTAACGCTCTTGGTGAAGTTGTCATTGACCTTATCGTTAGACCAGATGGGTATGTCAAAGATTCCTTATATAGGTGGAGTGGGTTGACTAAGGCTGATGTTTTGAAATCTCCATACAGATTAAAAGATGTTCAGAGAGAAATGTTGTCCATTGTTAAAGCTTCTGACTTCATTATCGGTCATTCTGTTCATTATGATTTACACGCGCTACAATTGAAACATCCATTGGTTGTTGATACCGCTGCTGTTTACTTTGAGCTTGGTAGAAATGGAAATCCTCCTGCCTTGAGATATCTATCCAAAGACTTATTGAATAAGACCATTCAACAAGGGTCCCATAGCTCTGTGGAAGATGCCAAAATCACATTGGAATTGATGAAACTAAAATTTTAAATAAATCCCAAACTCGATTGAAAACCAAGCTCTGCATCAAAACTAAACATATATACAGAAACATAAGTGGCTATATCTATCATAAAGGTATGGGAAATGCTATATGGTGGTATTGGTTATAATTTTATACCCTGCTGAATTGGCTATATAGAAGTTCATATATCCGGATCATCTTGTTTTTGTGTCACTTTTTTTTCAGAAAGATACTGGTCAAGTATAAAAACTGTTTAAAATCCAAAAGAGAGAGAACCTTATACCATGAGAACCCCAAACAATCATATAAAACTATATTAAAAACTGCTTAATTGAATAGCCCCAAAAACTTATATTTGCTACATTATTTATCATTTTTGCTAATGGCTCCTCCTGATAGGAAAGAGATTGATAATCTTTTTAGACACATAATAACTGTTGATGAATTTAGAGAAAGAAGGTACACATTCCCCATCCATCCCCTTACATGGTTAGTGAACAACCCCAAATTTGAGAATTTTAGGCCCACAATACGTCCCCCAGATGAAGTTACTGAACCAGATATTTTTGCTTTGGATTGTGAAATGGTATATATGGAGAATAACGAGAAAGAGGTTGGTCGTGTTTCTTTGATTGACAAGAATGGTGATGTTGTGTTTGATGTATTTGTTAAACCCCAAGGAATAATAAAAGATTACGTGACAAAGTTCAGTGGACTTACAAAAATTATCATAGACAATGCAACTCATACATTGAAAGACGTCCAAGACCAGCTCATCAATGCGGTAAGATCTAAGGATCTTTTGATTGGTCATGCTATAGAAAATGATTTGATAGCTTTAAGAGTGTCCCATCCTTTTATTCTCGATACACAGATTTGTTATGGAAAAATTTGTCAGGTTACTACCCCTAAATTGAAAATTTTAGCTACTGAGTACTTAGATTTGAAGATACAAGAGGGTGAACACAGCTCTGTTGAAGATGCTCAGATAACTTTAAAATTAGCCAGAAAGTTTGCGAGCATACAAAACATGAAGTTATGCCCAACCAACTCCACCCTGAACCAAATAGCAACTAGAGAACACATAGAAGCACGGTCACTAGGCTCTCAGATATCCACAAGCTTAAATACTTTGAGGAATACGCCTCTGGGGATTCCTCTCATGAATCCGATGATTTCAGCCCAATTTCCAGTTAACGAAGGGAATAAGCGAGAGCTGGAGCTCAATTTTCCACAGGGGTTCTCTTATGATATTCAGCACCTACACCACACAAAATATGCACAATATGCACAATATGCACATTATGTTCGATATGTTCAATATGCCCAATATGTTCAATATGCTCAGTACGTTCAATATTCACGAGCTCACCAAAATCTCGCAGCTCCACCATTTCAAGCTCCACCATCTCGAGCTCCACCATTTCAAGTTCCACCATTCCAAGTTCCACCATTTCAAGCTCCACCATCTCGAGCTCTACCATTTCAAGTTCCACCATTCCAAGCTCCACCATTTCAAGCTCCACCATCTCAAGCTCCACCATTGCAAGCTCCACTATTTCAAGTTCCGCCATCTCAAGCTCCTCCATCTCAAGTTCTACCATCTCAAGTTCCACCATCTCGAGCTCCACCATTCAACTCATCACTTCCTCCTAGTCCCTATCATTATCAATATAATCCATATTCTTGTTATTCTTCCAATAAAACATTGATGGATAGAACTTCAGGTCAAATTGCACCATATACAAACAATCAGACAAATCAACTACACGTGAATGGAGAAAGTAAGATGACTCCTAGTGATTCTTCTTCAATTAAATTCAACCCTGCACTTAATTTGTCAGACTCTCAATACAGTGCAATTAAATTTTTTTTAAAGTATCTCAGAACAGATTCAACACCAAACTTTTCAATAATCTTGGGCCCCGGAACAACTCAATTAATTGATGATCAAGTAGTGAATACCAACAAAGAACTAGGAAATACTTTAGAAGCTCCTAAAAAGATTGAATTTATTGAAAATGAAACATATGTATCTGAAGCTTCCGCTGACAGAAGTGATTACAAAAGAGATCTTTCTAGTGAAGAATCCAAAGAGCATGATGACATGGAACAAAGTAAGAGTAAAGATGAAGAACCTGCTACACTTGAGACTCAGGATGTTACCAAGCTTCAGCAAAGTTAAGAGGAGAATATCAAGACGGAGGGAAAGATCACATGGGGATATATTGGAAGGGTTTTAGATTCAGAAGATATTCATTGACATATGGGGATTGACTCAATGGATAAAATTTGTACCAACATCATAGATTGATATACTATCATTAGATTATCAATAAGCTATTATATATAATGTAGGCACGTAGAGAGGTTGAGTGCCCTGTCTTGGAGTAAACCAACAAATTAATTCGACAGAAATTTCAACTCTTATTAACTCTTATTAACTAACTCATGTATTATAATTAAACAATGGCGCTAATCTTACCAATAACTAGGTGAGTCTGATTCATACTGCAGCTGCTATTATAAGCCATAGAGTGTGCTATATAAGCAGAATATCAGAACTCAAAACGTTATTTTGTTGTCAAAAGTTTCCCGAGAAGATACTACTTCACACCTTGACTACAATTGAGTATCAATGAACAGTTATGAAACAGTCATGAAAAGATGTTTTTGGATCTAATGTCATTCTTCGAGCTCTCACCAGCCAATCATATCGAATACCAAGACAAACTAGCTAAGAGGGAAACTCATTTTAGAAGCCAAAGTTTGAGATTCCATTCTTTGATACCCATTTTGGGGAGATTAATATGTGGAAATAATACATGAAACATGTTCCGTAGATTGTTGAAAACGTTCACGATAGTTAATTTACCGTATAAAACGCTATATGTGTTTCACCATGAAACAATAAGAAAATCAGGTATAAAAGAGACAAGATTCAGATCTATTTCAATCATGAACTCAAGCTTTTAATTATCCTTAAATCAACCAAAAACTTATACTTTATACGTCTTTTAGTTGTATCGATTATATAAGCAAAGTCCATTTCACGCGCGCCTCAAAACTTATATCAAGATGAATAGTACTACTTTCAATGCTAATGCAGATTATACCCCTGGTCAGTTTCGTTTCTATGATGAATTATCAATAAGACCATCTTAAAGACTCTACAACAATGTTCCAAATTCATCTATGAAATCTTATGCTAGATGCTCTACCACAAATGCTGATTTTGCTGAAACTCATAATGATAGGTTAGAACATTTAAGTCAAGAACAAAGAGAAAGAAAAGCTGATCTAAGAAAGAGAAAATTTGAATTGATTAATAGTTCAGCATCATGTGAAATTTCTAAAAAGATTAAATCTATATTTCATAAAAAACCTGAAGATGTTTCTATTAGAATTGTGGAAATTTCAAAAGGTAGAACTATTGGTGATTTATGGAGTGATAATAGTTATGATGTTGAAAATGACGTTGATGTTAAAGATGAAGTTCGTGTTAAAGATGAAGCTAATGTTAAAGAAGAAGTTGATGTTGAACCAATTAAACTTGAACCTAATACCATGGAGGATGATTCTACTCATATTAAATCAGAAGTTGAAGTTATAGATCTAACATTAGAACCAACACCAGAGCCAACATCAACTCTTGAGCAAGATTCTGCAAAACCAATCCCATCACCAATATCAATTCCACAAAGTGATGAATCAGTCAAACAATTATCAACTAAAGATTCACAAAATCATGATTCAGAATTATCGCAATCACCAGTTGACTCACCAGTTCAATCACCAGTTCAGCCACCTGTTGAAACAACCGCTCAGCCAACCTCTCAACCACCAGTTCAATCACTAGTTCAATCACCAGCTCATTCACCAGTTGATTCAACCGCTCAGTCAACCACTCAATCACCAGCTCAATCATTAGTTGAACCTTCCATTCCAGAACTTATTACAAAATCAATACAACAATCAACCTCAGAACAAACCTCAAAATTAAATGAGCAAGCTTTTTCAGCAAAGGCTCTTAAACCAACTTCATTACAATCATCAGTACCACAAACTCAATCAGAACCTCAGATCTCACAACAAGCACAAGTATGTTTAGCTCAAACCCCTCAAAATCAAGTTCCACATCAAGATTCGTCTGATAATGAAGCTCGTATTGAAGTTCGTTCTTTAAGAAATCAAACTATTGGTGATATGATGAAAAGTAGATCCTTTGAAAATGAAATTGAAGCTTTAAAAATTCAACAAAGAGAAAAAATTAATCAACAACAGTCACAAGGTTTACAAAATCAAACCTTTTCATACCCTCTGATGCAAGCTCGTTCTCAGAATCAAGTACAGGAAAAAGAAAATGATCAACTAAAGAATCAATGTTATTCACAAGCTCATGATAAATCAAGAGATAAACCACAAGATCAAGCTGACCTCAATCCTCAACATCAAGCTCCATTACAAACTCAAGCATATCATAATTTACCACAACAAAATGGTAAGCAAAACCCAGCTTCTAATAAAAAACAACCACAAGGTTTAAATCAACAGCATCAACCACAATTTCAAGCTCCGATTAATCAACAGCAAATGTTACAATACCAAAGAGCTTTTCAACAACAACAGTTTCAATCTCAAGCACCTGTCCATCAACAGCAATTTCAACCTCAAGTTCCAGTCCATCAACAACACTTTCAACCTCAAGCTCCAGTCCATCCACAATTTCAACCTCAAGCTCCAGTCCATAAACTACAACAGGTTCAACCGCAAGCTCCAGTCCATTAACAACAACAAGTACAAGATCAAAGACATGTTTATCAACAGCAACATCTACACAATCAATTACCAGGCCAAGCTATAAACTATCAACCACAATACCAAGCCCTACCACAAGCTCAAATCTTTGATCAATCACAACGGTTGCAACCTCAAGCTCAGAGTCAAAGCCCAAACCAATATATTGGAGACCAATCTATACATTCTAAAGAAATCATAAAATCATTGTCACCAGCTCAAATTCAAAACAAAATAGATGAACTAGAATCTGAAGCTCAAAGACAGGAAGATGGGACATCAGTGCTATTTCAAACTTTGTCGGAGAAAGTATCACTAATCCAGGTTACATCAAAGGAAATGAGTGATCTTAAACAAATCGTTGGAAGCCAATCTACCACTCATTTAGCAAACAAAAAATCAATAACACCAGCTCAATTTCAACCCAAGCAAAAATTGATTGAATTGGAATTAAAAGTTTTCAAATTAAAAGATGAATATTACAGTATCCACGAAGATTATTTGGAAAAAAGAGCACAACGTAATAATACTATACAAAGATTAAATAAATTACGTGCTGAATTGATAATTAAGAACAATCTAACATTAAATTCAAATGGACAATATGTTATGTATTGAGATATGTGTTGATAATATGATTGTAATCAATGAAATAAAGGTATTCAAGTTGAGGGAAGAGTTGGAAGAGTTGGAGGAGCCTCATGGTCTAAAGAAGACCAAAAGGCTCTACCTACGATTTCAAGAAACAATTATAGAGGCATTAGTAATTAGATTGATTTTAATTAACAGTTATTATATTTTAATTAAAGTATTGTAATATAGTAATTGTTAATTTTAGTAATATACCAGTTGGTAATTAACTAATTACTGTAAGTTTGCTTAACTACCCGCGAATTTCTTGAATTTTTTGGTGATGTTTTATAAAAACTTGAAACCAAACTGATTCAAAGGTTCAAATATGAAACAAATGAGCTTCAAAATGAAACAAAAACGATGAAACTGATCAAATGTAAAACGGGACAGGAATATAACTGGTACACCTGCACATTTGAGGGAAGGGTTACATCGATTGCAGTCGTTTTTGTTGTTGTAACCAGCTGTTGTAATGTTGTAGTATATCAAAAAAGTAGTGATTGATTCAGTGAACAGGCAACTAACAACTCAAGTTGAACTGAATGATGGCGATATTGTAAGACTGCAGAGACTATAGTTTCATTAATCCATAGTATCTTTAGCTTAGTAGGTGCTATATAGTATTACTCTGTGCTACTTGAATCCCCCTCTAGATAATCAAAATCTCTGTTCAAGTTTTTCTCGAACGTCACCAAAATCGTGAACTTTCAGCCTGAACAAGAAAATGACACTACAAAAAACGAGTCACCAAAACAGAACATTCTAGACTCAAAAATGCAAAATAAACACCGGATTCGTGCAAGGCGCAGTTTTTAAAAAATGAATGACCATTTTTTTTTGTTGAAATTCAAATCAAAATTAAAAAAAAAACTGAAAAACTATAAAAGGAGCTGAATTTTCCCAAATTTTCATCTCTTTTACCAACCGCTTTTTCAAAAAATCCGAAAATTCAAAAAAAATCAGATTTTCTTGATTATATAATCTGCTCTCTGATTACGTAAACTCCTCAGTACTATACAGCTATATAATTTACTATACTATACTATATAAAACAAATCGCTATTTAAAATGTATTTAAACAAAATGATTCTTAAATGAATTGAAGGACCGTAAGATCCCAATTCATCATTTAACTCCTGGTTTAGGTTCAAAAACGGTTGATGCTAAGAAATTTATTTATGGTCAACCAGCTTATAATATTACGGATTCATTAGCTATTGGTGAAAGTTTTAATGGTTGGATTAAGACTTTACCTAGTGAAAGATCTCGTAAAAGTGAACGTCGCAAAATATTTGCAATTGATTGTGAAACGGTTCTTTGTGATGGTAATGTTATTCAATTAGGTCAAGTTTCAATAATCAATTGGCAAAATGAAGAGATTTTAACAGTTTATGTTAAACCTGATTTAAAAGTCAAGAATTATAATACCAAAATAACTGGATTAACTAAAGATTTATTGTTTAATAATCCTGATGCTTGGAGTTTTAAACAAGTTCAAAATTTTATCTTGGAAACAATTAAAACAAGAGATATTATTGTAGGTCATGCAATTCATAATGATTTAAATTATTTAAAATTAGTTCATCCAAGAATTATTGATACACAAATTTTATATCCAAATTTTATTAATTCATCAAAATCATTTTTCGGTTCACGTCCATCATTAAAAAATTTAAGTAAGAAATATTTGTTGAAAGATATTCAAATTGGACCTCATGATCCAATGATAGATGCTAAATCAACTTTAGATCTTGTTAAAGTTTTAAATTATACTCATAAATTAAGACAAAGACCAATTAAACGTTTATCAAACCAACCAAAAAGACCAATTATTGAAAATTCTAATGTTGAAGATGATGAGTCTAAATGTCAAAATGATAAGGTTAAACCAAAAACAGTTATGATTGCACACCTTCGTGCTGTTAACAATCAAAGATATTTTCAAATGATTTGATTTATACGTGGTATTAATAACCTAACTTCAGGCCCTTGAATTCAAACAGTCTTTTATCAAATTATTATTATTTTGTTCTTTATTAAAATTAAACCAACTCAAAAAAACTTCAAAATTAAAAAAACCAAAAAAAAAAAAATTGAAAGCAACTATTGCTGATTCAATTTATCCGGTCTAAATCAGAATTCTGTTACCTAATATCCATCACTTTTCTCAGTTTTAGAATTTTGTTCTAATCAACCAATGGGATTTATACCTCCAAGTAATTGACCAACAACAAAGAAAGCTGATCTCACTGTGGATATAATGATATGTCAAATGATTTGATCTATTGATGGTAAATAGTCTAGATTCAGGCTCAAACTAAAATAGTTTATTATTAACTATTTTATCCAGTTATTTATCAACCAACTCAAAAAACCAAAAAAATACTTATCAATGGTATAGCCTAACTTCAGGTTTTAACCAAAATAATTTTTCAATTAATTTATTATTCAAGCTTCTTTATCTAACCAACGCAAAAACCAAAAAAAAACAAATCCCATTTCAATTAAATTAACGTTGGTAATTTTCATTCTTTTCAATTTTCCTTCTTTACTATATTGAAATATAGTACTTTGTTTTATTTTTTTTTTATCAAATAATAATTGAGGCCAATTGGTGTTGACTGATCTCTTATTATGCTTTAAAGGAAACTTTCCTTGAAAAAAACCCTCTTAAAAAACATTTTATATCCCATATTTTCTATTCTTTATAAAGTACACAAATATATTTCAATTCTTTTATACTCATCATTTGTAGCTAATATTAAGTCATTGGAATTCCGACCATTTTGAAAATTCATACACGTGACTATATTTTCACGAGAGTCGGAATTTACTCTTTATGGCCATCAAACATAAACTCGAATAATCAAAAAGACAAAATTTAACTCAATTTTCCCAATTTATAACATTTTTAAAAGGGAATTTGTGGGATTTTATGACATTAATCATTAATTTCAATCTAAACAATCATCAACATCATAATATCATCATAGAATCCCACTTATAACACTGTGTTTTTCTCCAATATTCTCATAAAATTGATCAAGATTTCAACAATTTGATTGTAAATTTTTTCCTTTCAAATTGCAAATAAAATAACTTTTAAAATCAAAATTCCAACATTTGAGCGGTTTAAATCATTGTGAAAGTGGCAATCAAACAGATACATTGAGTTAGGAAACATCTGTTCAAATCACAATATAAATCACAATAGTTTTCATTCTTTTGATTGCATTTCATTTGAGGTGTGTTCTACTTCAACATGTCTGATATTCCAATAATACAGAATAACAAAGCTCAACAAAAGGAAATTCCAGAAATTCTGAACGGAGCGCCAGGATCAACAACTACTGAGAATGGTGATACTCATGATGCTACTCAAATAGCTTCTGGTGCTGCTACTGCTGCTACTGCTCAACCTTTGCCAAATCCACAATCAGCTACTACTTCTTCAAATGGTAATCATGGAAGCATATTACCACCACAACAAACCATTCCACCAACACCATTACAACAAACACAACAAACACAACAACTAAATGTCTCAATACCAATACCAACTCAAGTACCAACCACTGTACAAAGCAAAAGAATATTCAATTCTATACATGATTTTGAAAAAATTGGTATTAAAACGAGGAAATCTATAAAGGAAAATTTTCAACAAAAGGAATCACCATCATTTGATCCACCAAGAGATAATATTGAAAGTATACCCACCTATTATCCAACAGAAGAACAATTCAAAGATCCCATGGGGTTCATAGAATCTATAAATGATGTTGGTATGAAATATGGTGCTGTTAAGATAATACCTCCACCTAATTATGACCCAGGTTTTTCAATGGATTTATCAAGATTAAAATTTAGAGCTGCAAAACAATCTTTAAATCATCCAACAAGTAATTTTAATGAAAAAATTCAATTTTATAAAGATTTATTACAATTCCATAAATCTCAAAAATTACCTTTATTAAGATTACCATCAATTGATAGAAGAGTTTTAGATCTGTTCAAATTAAGAAATTCTGTTCATTTAAAAGGTGGGTTTGAATTGGTTTGTAGAAAAAAACTTTGGGCTCAAATTGGTAGAGAATTAGGTTATACTGGTAGAATTATGACTTCTTTATCAACAAGTTTAAAAAATTCTTATCATAAAGTTGTTCATTCTTATGATTTATATTTACAACAACAAGATTTTGAAAGTTCAAATATAACAAATGAATCAAATAAAAGACCTTTAGAAGAATCAATTAATAATAAAGATCATAATGAAGATTTTATTAAAAGACCTAAAACTGAGGCAAAAGAATTGAAAATTAGAGATCCAATACCAACAATTTCAAATTCAAGAAGAGTTTTCAAAAGATCAAGAGATATTTTAAAAGCTAAAGGTTTTAGAACAAATTTTGAATCTTATACAGAGGAAAAACAAGGTATAACTCAAATTGAAGATAATACATTCCCATATTATGATTTTAGTTATTGGCATAAAGGTTATGAAGTTTTAGATTATCCTTATCCAAGTACAGAAGTCAGTCAATTATACGATTTAGATGAATTTTATGAATCACATCTGAAATTTACAAGAAGTTTATTTTCAGGTGAAGTTAGTGAAGATCAACGTATTGAAAGATATCAAAATTTAATATCATCAAAATCTTCGGAGTTTAATGTTGAATCTGCAAAGCATTTACCATCAACTGTATTTGGAAGTGGATTTGCTTCAATGACTGAAGTTGTTGAATCTAATAAATTGGAAAATGTAACTGACCCTTGGAATTTAAATAATTTACCATTAAATGAAAAAGGTTTAATGAGATATCTTGTTACAGAAAATGAACCATTAACAAAACCACAAATTGATATTGAAATGTTATATAGTACACAATCATGGGCAGCAGAAGATCATTTATTATATTCAGCTGATTATCAACATATTGGTGCTTCCAAGATTTGTTTTTATATTTCACCAAGTGATCAAGAAAAATATGAAAATTTAGTAACAAAATATGTTAATGAAAGTGAAAGTTCAATTGGATCAGGTATTATTAAAGATGAATTCCCAGAACCAATTGCTTCAGATGTTTGTGATACAATTAAAATTCAAGATCAATTTAGTAATAGAGCTGACACAACAAATTCTTCATTTCAAAAATTATATGAAAAAAAACCAACAGCTGTTAGATTTAATACAGATTTTCTTATACCTTTTGATATATTAAAACAAAATGATATTAAAATTTATTATACAATACAAAAATCTGGTCAATTTTTAATTAAATTCCCCAAAACATATTCATCATCAATTTCATTAGGTTTTAATATAAATGAACATGTTAATTTTGCTACAATGTCATGGTTAGATCATGCATCATATGCAGAAAATTGGTTACAAAAACAAGGTTTATTACCATGTTTTTCATTTTTCCAATTATTAACTACAATTGCAGAAGAATCAAAAGATTCATCTTTATTAAAGAAAGTTTTACCTTATTATAATGAATTAATTGAAGAACAATTTGAATTAAGATCTAATTTGAAAAATACTGTGTCAAATTTGAAAACAATTAATAATAAATTTGATTATATTACAGATGATAATTTATCAATGAGTTTCCCAACAAAAATTGTGGTAATATCAGGGAATGATTCTTTTAATTTAAATCCATTAAATTTTATTAAACTTTATCAAGATGGAATTTTTAAAAATTTTAAAGAATCATCAATTAAATTTGAAATGCATGTTTTCTATTCAGATGATCGATTGAAAAGTTTCCAAAGAACTTTATCAACTTATGCACAAACACCACAAGATTGGTGTAAAAAATTTGAAGAATTATTATCAAATCATGAAAAACCTCCAATAAGATCATTGAAAACTTTATTAACCGAAAGTGAACGTATTAATGGTTCAATACCTGAAGCTGAAACTTTAAAATCATATCTTGATGATGCAAATTTATGGATTGAACAAGTTCAAGATATTATGAGTGTTAAACAAAAAAATAGAATTCGTAATAGAAGAGGTTCTATCAAAGAAGAAAAATTAGATGATCAAAAACAAATTACAAAACCTGAAGTTATTGAAAAATTAATTAAAGAAATTCCAAATTTTAGTTTTACATGTCCAGAAATTGATCAATTAATTGAATTTGCTAATGAAATTTATCAATTTGAAATTACAGCTAGAGGGTTTTTAACAGATTCAGATCATACAAATGAAGAATTTTATGATATGATTGATCTGGGTAAATCATTTGGAGTTGAATTAAAATCTGTTGAATTTTTAGAAAGAATTGTTAAAAGAGAAGAATGGATTTTGAAAGCTGAACAAGTTTTGAAAAATTCTACAATTTTAGAAGAATTTGAACATATTTTGAATGATGGATTTAAATTAGCAAGTAAAAAAGATCAAGAATTAATGGATAAAGTATTTGCCAAATATAAAAATGGGAAATATTTAAATGCTAAATTTAAACATTTCTTATCATTACCTTCATTATCAATAAATATTGTGGAAATGTTGATGAGAGAATCTATTGGAATTCCAACTGATAGACAAGTTATGGCAGATATTGAATCTATTAAACAAAGACATGCTCAATCTGTACAAGAACGTGATAATATTTATAAAATCATTGAAAAAAATGAACCTGAATTGAATGCATTACGTGATGAAAAAAGGAAAAAAGATGATCCTAATGTTGAATTTAATGAAGAACATTATTTAAAATTAATTAAAAAATTTCAAGGTGATAAATTTGATATAAGGCCAAAATATTCTGAAGCTAAAGATACATTAGATAATTCAAGACAATTTTTACCATCAACTCCATCAGATCCATTAGATAATTATTTAAGACAAGCTGAAGAATGGTTAAGAAAAACCAAGAGATTATTTGGTAAAACTAATGCACCTTTTAGTGTTTTAAGAAATCATTTAACAACAATTTGGCAAAAAGATCAATATTGTTTTGCTTTAGAAGATAAATATATCTTAAACAAAGATGAAAAAGATCATTTACGTTATTGTTTTTGTCGTCGTTCAGAATCAGGTACAATGATTGCATGTGAAAAATGTGATGAATGGTATCATTGTAGATGTCTGAAATTTGGTAGAGGGAAATCCAAGAATCTTGATCATTATATTTGCCCAATTTGTGATTATAGATTAGAAATTCCAAGAGAATATAATTGTCCAAAGTTAGAAGATTTAGAAATTATTGTTGAAGAAGGTGCCTTTTTAGAAGTAGCACCAGATGAATTAAATTTAGTTAAATCAATAATGGTTGATGCATTAAATTTTAGAAATTTTCTTAAAAATGAATTTAAATGGGATGAATCAACTGGTGAAATTATTGAAACTGATATTTTAAAAATTAAATATTATCATAGAAAATTAGAAGGTGCAAGTGTTTTATTAATTAATGAATATAATCAATTAAGACAATTGATTCATAAATTAGATCCAATTTGTTCAATAGCACCACCAATTATTGAATCATCAAATAAAACAAGAAAAAGAAGACCTAGACCATCACTTCAAACTGAGGTAACATCAACATCAGGCAGTAGTAGCTCAAGTACAATTGTTATTAAAGGTGATTTACCAACACCAACTCCAGAATCAAGACAAAAAGTTGATTTATTGAATTTAGTTAAACAAGATGAAAATGATAAAGTTGTAGCCAAGGCTGAAGTTAACACTGGAAATGATCAACCAAATGCTCAAGCAAATGCTCAAGCAAATGCCGACCCAAGTGTTGAACAAAAGTCTGAACAAAAGACTGAACCAACAATTGAACAAACTAATGGAAATAAAGTTGAGGATAAACCTAATGATAATAATGATGATACTGGAAAAATCGAAGAAAAAGTTGAGGAAAAACCTATAAAGAATAGTGATGATACTGGAAGAATTGAAGAAAAAAAAGATGTTGATGTTTCATCAGTTCAAGAAGATGTTAAAAAGACTGATGATGATAAATCAGAGGTTAAAGAAGATCAAAAAAATGAATCAATTGAAACAAAATCAAATGATGACATACCAACTGAAGAAGAACCATCTGAAGAAAAACCATCAGAGAACCCAAAGGAAATTGAATCAAATGAAACAGAGACATCAAAAGAACCAGTACCAGAATCAGTACAAGTATCAGAACCAGTATCAGAACCTGTCAAAAACTCCGAGAATTCAGACTCAGAACCTAAAGAAGATTCAGAAAACAAGGAACCTACAGCTCCTGTTGAGAATAAAGAACAATAATGAAAGATATAGAGATTAAATTGTAACAATATATATAATGAATGAATGCGTATACTTTTACTTTTAAAGTGCAGTAGCCAAAGTCCGAAGAACCCCAGATATGAGACATATTGGATCGCTACAAAAACGAGCAGATAGCCTATCCAGCAGCCTAACAACCAATCACACAATCACAAAACAATCAATTGATTCAGACTTCTCCAGACTAATTAAAACCCTTCAAAACCAGCCAATTAAAACCCTGCAAACCCATTCAAATTCGATCACGTACGCGTTCTGGGGTAAATCGCGGAGTCCTTTAAAAATGGACAACTTTTTACACGGGAAATTCAATAAAAACTCAACAAATCCTACCAAAAACATACTTTTGATTATATTTTTATAGGGTAAAACAACCATTTCAAAACCAATAATCCACTCAGAATCACCAATTCTAAAGTCCTTGACCCAGTTTACTTATATTTCAAGTCTCATTAAGCTGATCACTGCAAATTCAAAGCGCGAAGAATTTTTATTTGGTGCAAAAAAAGTGGCCAAAAGGTGAAAATTTATAAGATCTGGAGAAACACAGACAATTATCAGTTGAATACTTGAGAGACACCAGACAAGATGCTCAAGTCATTGGTGGTATTGAACCATCCAGTACGCATGGGTATACAGAACAAATTTTTCCTTCAACAAATTTCTAAAACTTCAATACCGGTATTACCATCATTTAAACAATATAGAAGAAGTTTCACAACATCAAGATTTAATCAACATGCTACTCCAGTTGATGATAAAAAAGATTCACAACTAGGTCATGGTGGTCATAGTCATAGTCATGGTCCAGGTGGTAATTGTGATGGTAGTCATTCTCATGGTGCTTCAGATGCTGCTAATGAATTAGAAGATCATGATCATATTCATTTACGTGAATCTGAAACTGAAACAAATGATTCTTTCACATTTGGTAGTATTAATCATAGTCATAATCATAGTCATGGACAAAATGAATTATTAGTTTGGGATAAGAAGAAATTTTGGGAAAATCCAGGTGTTAGAATTACATGGATTGGATTATTAATTAATGTTGGTATGGCTACTGGTAAATTAGTTGGTGGTATTGTATTCCATTCTCAAGCTTTAATGGCTGATTCTGTTCATGCTATTAGTGATTTAGTTTCAGATTTCTTAACTTTAGGTACTGTTGGTCTTGCAGCAAGAGGTCCAAATCAAAATTTCCCATATGGATATGGTAAAATTGAAACTGTTGGTTCTTTAGCTGTTAGTTCAATTTTAACAATGGCTGGATTATCAATTGGTTGGGCTTCTTTAGTAAATATTGTTGGACCAATGGTTCCACATACAATTATTGAAGCTTTAAATGCTTATCATATTCATTTATTAAGTGGTGGTCATGGTCATAGTCATGCTCATGCTCATGATATTACAAATGTTAATGCTGCATGGATTGCAGGTGCTTCAATTGTTGCAAAAGAATGGATTTTTAAAGCAACTTCCAAGATTGCAAAAGAACAAAATTCAAAAGTTTTATTAGCAAATGCATGGCATCATAGAGTTGATTCATTAACTTCATTAGTTGCTTTAATTACTATAACTGGTGGTCATTTCTTTGGTATTCAAAGTCTTGATGCTGTTGGTGGGTTATTAGTTTCTGGTTTAGTTATTAAAGCTGGGTTTAATGGTATTGTTATTGCAACTAATGAATTAATTGATAGATCAGTTCCAAAAACTGATGCAAGATATATTGAAATTGATTCAAAATTAAATGATTTATTAGGTAAATTATTATCAAATAATAATTCTAAAAAACCTTATTCAATTAATGAATTAGTTTTATTAACTTCAGGACCAAATGTTCATGCTAAAGTTAAATTAGAAGTTCCATTACAAAGATGGGATAATGTTTTAGATATTAATGAATTTGAAATTGTTTCACATCATTTGAAAACTCAATTAATTAAAGATATTGATAATTTAAGAAATGTTGATATTGAATTTATTGGAGAAAAACCAGAACCAGAAGAAGAATCCAAAGAAGAATCTACTCAAGAATCTGCTCAAGAACCTGAACATTCACATTCTCATGATTCAAATCATTCTCATAAACATTAGATTAGTTCTACATAGCTTGGTGTTTATAATACATTGACAACCTTCATGTCTTATATATATATATTAAAAAATAATAAAAATTTTAAATATTCCAAAAATTAACTACTTTTTTACATTGATTGTTGACCATAAATCCAATCATTTAAACCAGCTCTATTTCTAACGATTTCAATAGCATAAAATTGAATTCTAACAGCAAAAATTGTTGAAATTTGATCATATTCAGTATCAGATTTTGTTCTTAATAAAGTACCAAAATTATAATCTTCAATATATTTAAATTCTTCACAAAATAATCTCCATCTTTCTTTACCTACTTTAGATTTCATTTCATCTTCATTTATATGTTTAGCGAAATTTGGATCTTTAAATTCAGGAAATTTTTCAATTAATAAATTATAAATTTCATCATCATATTTTGTTAATTTTAAACTTGAACCTTTTATTTTAGTTAATAAATTCCAATAAGTTTCAGCTTGATGAACAGCTTTAACTGCAAATTGTTTTTCAATGTCTTCCAAGTTTTCAGCGTTTTCAGCATCAAATTTACTCATTTTGTCTGTGTTGTATGGGATCTTAATAAAACTACAACTATCGAGTACCAATTAATTATGTCTTCTTTATATACTTTTTTTCAAAATTGACGTCAAATTTTTTTTTCGCGGTTCACGTGACATTTTTTTTAACCAGAAGATTCGCGAATTCACTAGAACAAATTCGAAAATTTGGTATTATTTGGAGATGGAAGTTGATATATATGGGTTAATTGAGTGGGTCTCAAAGGAAATTGATATTATTTTCAGTGGGAAACTGGGTATTTTGGTGTATAAAGTGGACTATCATAGGTTTGTTTTGAATTTAGCAATGTTTTAATGGAAATTTCAATTATTCGCGTAATGTTTTTGACCCATAAAGAAACATAACCATTAACTACTGGAAATCTATTAATTTGATACATTAACTAGGCTTAAATGTCATTGAGATTGTTACCAATAGGAATCAGAAATATTAAATCCCAAAGAAACATCCATACAATGAGCCAAATCAAAACAGCAGCTATTTTAATCATTGGTGATGAAGTATTAAATGGTAAAATTCAAGATACAAATTCAAGATTTTTTGCCAAATTTTTATTTGAAAAGGGTATTCAATTACAAAAAATTCTTGTTATTGGTGATGAATCCCAAGATATTATTGAATCTGTCCGTGAATTATCATCAAAATATGATTTTATTGTCACTACAGGTGGGATTGGTTCAACTCATGATGATATTACTTATGAATCAATCGCAAAAGCTTTTGATTTAAATTTAGAATTACACCAGGAAACTGTGGATAAGATGATTAAATTACGTAAATCTACTTCTAAACAATTAGAAGGTGATGCTTTAAAAGCTCAATTAAGAATGGCTACATTACCTAAAGGTTCAAATGTTGAAAATATTTATCTTAATGAAGAATTATGGGTTCCAATAGTTGGAATAAATAAAAAATTATATATTTTCCCTGGTGTACCACAATTATTTGAAAAAATGGTTAAAGGACTTGTTGAACAACATTTAAATTCAAGAATCCCTGAAGAAAATAAATTTATTAGATTTTATGTATCAACAAAATTATCAGAAAGTGAAATAGCACCACATTTAACTCAATTACAAAAAAAAGCTCAAGATGATGGGTTTGAAGATGTTAAGATTGGAAGTTATCCACATCTAGGATTACAAGTGAATACAATTTCAATATTAGCTAGATCTAAAAACAAAGATTACCTAAGATCTATAGTGGATTATTCAATTAAGAATTTACAAGGTGTTGAAATTGATTCAAAATTAGAAGATGAATATAGTAATAACGTTGATCCGTTGAAGTGAGAGCCAGTTGAATAAAATAAATATACAACAGCCTATGATGAAATATAATATTGTAGATCATCAATCGCTTGTGAACTTTGAAGTTGTTGTTTCAACTTTCCTAATTCGGAATATCTCCGATCATTATAGATAAGGAATAAATCCAATGGAAATAAACCAAAAATAGGTGGAAACACATATCTTTGATCTTTGATACACAATTGTTTATCATTAATGGACTTTTAATTTGATAGGTTGCTTGAAATACCTCCGATAAACAAACGTTCAACGGTTGCTGAATTGTTGTATTGTTTTTAAACAAAGAAATGAGCACTTTTAAACCTTTATGCTTGGTCTATTGTACTCATGGTCGTCATATGGTAAGAGAGGTACTATATCATGTCTACACCATTAAAATCAATCAAATCAAATGAATTATATACAAATTTTTCAAATGGTTTGAAATCATTCAAAGATTTAGCATTAAATAATGAACATGAAGGTTTAACAAGTCAAAAATCCAAAATTAGATCAATTAAATCTCATCAAGAAATTAATCCATTAATTAAACAAACAGATGATGAATTATTAGCACAAATTGGTTATAAACCAGAATTAAAACGTCAATTTTCCACAATTCAAGTGTTTGGTGTTGCATTCTCCATTATGGGATTATTACCTTCTATAGCATCAGTTATTGGACAATCATTTACTACAGGTTCATCAAGTGCAATTTGGGGTTGGTTTATATCTGGTGGATTAATTTTATTAATTGGTATTTGTATGTCAGAATTAGCAAGTTCAATACCAACATCTGGTGGACTTTATTATTGGACTTATCATTATGCTCCAGAGAATTGGAAAATCCCTCTAAGTTTCCTTGTGGGTAATTCAAATACTGTGGCATTAACTGGTGCTTTATGTTCAATTGATTATGGATTTGCTAAAGAAGTTTTATCAATTGTTTATATTTCCAAAGATGGTGATTTTGAAATAACAGATGCAATGACTTATGGAGTTTATTGTGCATGTATCTTAAGTCATATTTTGGTAACTTGTTTAGCTTCGAAAAACATTGCATCATTACAAAGTTTTTCCATAGTTTCAAATGTGTTATTAATTATTTTTTTCATAATTGTTATATTAGTTGGTACTGGTACTTCATCATCACATCATTTTAATAATGCATCATTTATATTTGGTAATCTTGAAACTTCATTAAGTGATTGGTCTTCAGGTTGGTCATGGATTATGAATGGTATGTTACCATGTATTTGGACAATTGGAGCATTTGATTCATGTGTTCATATGTCAGAAGAAGCGAAAAACAGTTCAAGATCAGTTCCAAGAGGTATATTGGGGTCAATAACTGCATGTTGGTTATTAGGTTGGATAATTTTAATTGTTTGTGGAGCTGTTATAAATCCAGATTTAAGTTCAGTTATTGATTCAGAATCTGGTCAACCAATGGCTGAAATTATTTATCATTCATTAGGTAAAAAATGGTCAATTTCATTCATGTCACTTATTGCAAGTTGTCAATGGCTTATGGGTGCTTCAACAATAACTGCTACATCAAGACAAATTTGGGCATTTGCTAGAGATAATGGATTAATTTTTTCACAATTTGTTAAAGTTGTTAATAAAAAATTATCTGTACCTATTAGAGCTATTTGGTTTAATGGTGTATTAGCTATAATTATGGGGACGTTATGTCTTATTGGACCAACTGCAGCAAATGCATTATTTACATTATATATCTGTGGTAATTATTTTGCATGGGAAATACCAATCATGTTGAGAATATATAGATCATTTGGTCCTGTTGATTCAATTTATAAATTTAAACCAGGTTTATTTTATATGGGTCCCCGTTTAAGTCCAATTATAAATTGGATTACAATTTTTTTCACAAATTTTGTTATTATAATGGCAATGTTTCCAACTTCACCTCATGTTGATAAAGAAAATATGAATTATACTGTTGTTATAACAATGAGTACATGGATTTTATCAATGATTTATTATTATAGTTATGCTAAAAAGACATATTTTGGCCCTAGAAATACATTGGATGAACAAGAACAAGATAGTGATGATTATATTGAAGGGAATGAAATGTTGAATATTGATGATATTATCGAGGATAAGAAAGAGTGATTAATGCCTATTCAGTGTTTTGTTCACCTTTTAAAGATTCAACCCATCCGATAAATCCCATTAGTCTTGGTGTTTTGGTTTCACATTATATAATTCAAGTATAGAATGAGCCCCTTTGATGATTGACAATATTGTCCTGGTGAGAGATGGACTGATAAACAAGTAAATAAATAAACAAATAGATATTCAGTCAACTAAACTACACAACAAGTAAACTATAAGTAAACCATAACTCTCAACTCTCCATTAACCACTAACTATACACTTCAAACGCGTACTAGTCAAAGAATACACGTACTTTATCCTGACACAGCGCGACTTGACAGTCAAAATCATTACGTAATCGATTTTTTTAAAGTGTCAAAAAACTAAAAATAAAAAAAAAATTAAAAATTAAAAAAAAAAAAAAATTGGCTGTGAAATCGAAAACCAAAATTTACTTCTCAGAAAATCAAAATTGAAATCAAAGAAAACAAGGAAAATAAACAAAATTAACCGCTGTGTCGAAAACTTGTTGAAACTTGTTAGGAAATAGTTCATAAAAGGCCCATAAAGACCACTATTATATCACTGTTTCTGTCTCATTTGCTCTGTCTCATTTGCTTTTGCTTGTCTGATTATATTCCCTTTCATCACACTCCCTGCTTATTTCTTGATCCAATTTTGATCCAATTTTGATCTGGTAAGGAACCAGGATAACAACAACACAACAAACACAACACAACACAGAGAAAATGAGGTTCAACTTATTCCTTATAGCTCTATCACAGATCATACCATTCACACAGGCAAGAGTGTTAAAAGCATCTTCATTGGTGACTTGTATGGAAAATTCCCAATTATCAGCTACTTATTTCGATGTTCTTTTCAAACCTGATGATGGTTCTTTACATTATACATTAGATTTCACATCTGAAATTAGTGATTATATTATAGCTGATTTAGATGTTTATGCTTATGGTTTCAAGATCATTACAAGACAAATTGATCTTTGTTCTTTAGGTTGGAAACAATTTTGTCCATTATTCCCAGGTCAAGTTGAAGTTGATTCTATTGAATATATTTCTAAAGAATATATTAATCAAATCCCTGGTATTGCTTATCAAGTTCCTGATATTGATGCTTTTGCAAGAGTTAAAGTTAAAAATTCAAATGGTACTCAAGTTGCTTGTATTCAAGCTTATTTCACTAATGGTCATTCTGTTTCTCAAACTGGTGCTAAATGGGCAACTGCTGTTATTGCAGGTTTAGGTTTATTAACAAGTGCTATTGCTTCAGCTTTTGGTAATTCAAATGCTGCGTCTCATGTTGGTGCTAATGCTGTTTCTTTATTCTTATATTTCCAAAGTATTGTTGTTTTATGTATGCAACATGTTGATCAAGTCCCACCAATTGCCTCAGCTTGGGCTGAAAATTTAGCTTGGTCAATGGGTTTAATTAGAGTCACATTTATGCAAAGAATCTTTAGATGGTATGTTCAATCAACTGGTGGTACTCCAACTTTAAATTTAACTTCCAAGACTATTAATATCTTGGTTCAAAGATCTGTTGATTATGTTAAAAGAGGTATGGATTTATTGAAAAGAGATAAACCAGTTGTTATCTATGGTAATCATAATGTTTTAATTTTCCGTGGTATTAAAAGATTAGCTTATTTAGCAAATATTGAAACTACAAGTGTTGTTTGTACAGGTTTTACATTTTTCATTATTTTTGGTTATGTTCTTGTTGGTGTTATTTTCATTGTTAAATATGCATCAGAATTATTTATAAGATTAGGTTGGATTAAATCATATAGATTAATTGACTTTAGACAAAATTGGAAACAAATTTTAAAAGGTTCATTATCAAGATATATTTTCATTGGGTTTACTCAATTAATGATTTTATCATTATGGGAATTTGTTCAAAGAGATTCACCTGCAGTTATTGTATTGGCTATCTTGTTTTTAATTTTAGCTTTAGGTATCTTGGGTTGGTCATGTTTTAGAGTTATTTCATTTGCTAAAAAATCAATTTCAATTCATAAAAATCCTGCTGCAATCTTGTATGGTGATGATAAAATCTTGGATAAATATGGATTTTTCTATACAATGTTTAATGCTAAAAGATATTGGTGGGGTGCAGTTGTCTTGGGTCATACTATAATTAAAGCTATCTTTATTGCATTTTGTCAAGGTTCAGGTAAAACTTCTGCAATGGTCTTTTGGATTGTTGATATGGTTTATTTAGGTTTATTAATTCATTTTAAACCTTATTTGAATAGTCCAACAAATATTGTTAACATTATGATTCAAACAGTTATAACCATAAATTCATTCTTATTTGTCTTTTATTCCAATTTATTTGGTCAACCAGCTGCAGTTGCTTCAGTTATGGGTTGGGTTTTCTTTATTTTAAATGCTGCATTTACTGTTATTTTATTAGTTTTATTATTATTAGGTTGTGGTTTCATCATTTTCTCTAAAAATCCAGATACAAGATTTAAACCTGCAAAAGATGATAGAGCTTCATTCCAAAAATTCAGTAATCATACTGCACAAAAGGGTCCAACTGCAGAATTAATGGCTTTAGGTATTGCAGCAAAAGATCATAGTACTAATTGGGAAAATGAATTACAAGATATGAAAAGATCAACTTTAACATCAACACAAAATCAATCATCATCAACTCAAGGTGATGAAGATTCATCTGTACCAATTGCTGATAATGAAAAAGAAACTTTTACAGGTAAAGTTGTACGTAAATTAACTGGTGGGCGTTCATTAAAGAGAAATAAATCACAAAAAAAAACAAATGAAAAAAGATTATTATCAGATTCTTCTTATTTACCAGATCATAATAATCAACATAATAATAATGATGAAGATGGATTTGATTTTGATGAACAACAACCACCATTACCTAAAGAACAATTAGAGAATTATCATCAAAAACATGAATCAATAAGTTCTTTCAACCATGTTAATAATAGATTACAAAATGATGATATTACTCAAACAAATGATTTTATTGGCGGATCAAATAATCAAAGTGGTACAAATTTAAATCATGTTCAAAGATATTCACAAGATTCTGATGATGTTCCATATCGTAAAATCTAAGATTACAATGTATTATACAACATACAAAAAAAACAAAACAAACAAAAGACAAAGCACACTTTATCATTATCATTATCATACTTTAATGGGACTTGGGAAATACAAAACAAACAATTTTCTTTCTTATTTTATCAATTTTTCAATGGAATTAATTCAAAATAATTTCATTTATGTACATTAGTTCAAATTTTATTTTTCTTTCGGGTTATTATATTTTCTTATCCATTCTATTATCAATATTAGATTGGAATGTTTCTATACTTATTTAGTTAACCACAATATATTATAAGTTTATATATTATGAATATCATTTAAGAATGTAGGTTATATGTATAATATGTTTGATCACTACATATATATTAACAAAAGATAAATATATATTGATATACTATAAAAAGCCATTTACTTTAAAAAAATTCAAGCAATAAAATCATTCTTTTTCTTGAGTTTGTTCATCTTGTGCTGTTGTAGCCATAGTAATTGAAGAACCAGCATCATCAAAAGAATCTAAATGAGCTCTAGTTGAATTATCTGAAACACCTGCAGTACTAATATCACGATCATCATCATCATCCTTCTTTTCATCAACATCTGGGTATTTAATTTGATGATCTGGTAGATCCCAATCAACAATATAAAGTTTTTGATCAACATTATTCAAGATTATATTACCAAATGTATATAAATCTTTATTCCCAAGACCATAACGAGTCAGTTTTTTGGTTAATTCTTCAAAATCTCTATGAATCCATGAATTTTCATCAGTTTTTGGGCTGGATGGATCAAAAATTTGACCTGGAATGTATTCAAGGATCAAAAAATAACCAGCAATAACAATGTAACCATATTTATTTCTAATTTTGATGAATCCAGATGAGTATAACTTTGGAACATGTAATAGATCTTCTGATCCATTAAGAATCTGTCTTGCATTGAAATTGTTGATATTCTTAAAAGCTGCAAACTGTTCCTTAAATAAATCCAAAGTTGAAGGATATGGCTGCTTCTTTATAGACCCTTTCATATCAATAGTGTCTATACAGCTTATCTTCATTATATAATCACTTTTCACCACATCATGGATGTTTTTTGAATCAATTTCATTAGTCAATCCTATTCTTTTTAAAACATCTAAAGGTATTTTTAAAACAGTATTTGATTTGTTTCTAGCTTCATGATCATTCTTTAATATTTCAGTTGTTTTATTGAAACGGTTATCCTTATAATTTCCAAATAAATCATTTTCATCAACCTCGATTCTTTTGTATGAAAATATCTGATCATCTAAATCTGGGGCATACAAATTGGCATTTGCATCTTGATTAATTTTTAGCTTATCTCCATCGATCAATGATTGTAAATTATCTTGTAAATTATCTTGTGGATCACTTCTATCATCATTTAGATCACTTCTATCATCATTTAGATCATTATTTTCAGTGTTATCATGATCATCCTGATATTCATCAACCAGTAAACTTAGTTCTGAGCTTGAGTTTGTTGGTGGTCGAGAAGAAGTTGTTTCTTGATTCAACCTTTCACAACAATATAAAATAGCCCAATTGAGATTTATATTCTGTGTCACATCGACTTGATTTCTAACAGAATAATAGCTGATATGCAACCCATAGAATATGATTGTATTATGATCAGCAGTTGTGTCACCCTTGTCAATATCATCATGATCAGAAATTAATTCACCAGTGTTATAATTTTCAGCACCTTTAATTTCAAAAATGATGGTAAATTCGTAATTAGATAACAAGCACACGACAGCATTAGTACCAATCTTGTAACTTGACATTTGTTTTAGAATGTCTAATAATTCGATCAGATCTTTGTCTGAAGTTTGCTTTAAAATATCTCCAGAAGAGTTAGTATTTTCAAGCAGTTTATTGAACTTCAGTTCTAAATTCAAGTCTCTCTTAATTTCAACAATAAACACATTTCTATTCTCTAAATTTGTAACTGTAAAGTCACAAGCAATATTTGATTTATTTAGTTCATAATTTGCTGGTGGATCTTTGGTTTTGTTTAAGATATCAAAATAATCTGACTTTAATTTCTCATATATTCCTTTAGAACTTAAGCTGTGTTCCCGTTCAATATGATACTGGTGGTCTTTAGTGTTGATTGTATTCATTATAAAGTGAAGGAGTGATTGGAATTTGTCTTGGATGTTTACTTCACTGAGATATTGACTAATTAATTCATTTAAAACCTTGAAAATTTTATCTCCAGCTTCTCTAGCTAAAAATGCATCCGTAACATTAAACAGCTCCCTTTTTTTTTTCAACTCTTTGTATAACTCATAGATAAAAGGTATCAGTATGTTTTCTTCTTTTTTCTTCCAACTTATATATTCACTCCTATCGTTTATTAATGCACCATGCTGCGCTTGAAAGTTCAAGAAAATTTCAGAACATTCCTTATTAACTTTTGAATACTCTTGAACCCTTTCTTGTAATTTTTGACAACTCTTAACTATTTCATCGTCATTTATGAGTTCCATTTTTGTGATGACAATATTTTTCATGGACTTGGTGATGATGTTATGCTGCCCAACCGCTACAGTATTATCTATAATTTTTTTTTTGGCTTCTTCAAACTGTTTACTTATTGCTTGCACAACAGAGCTATCTTGAAATTCAGTTTCGTCAATAATTAATTGGTCTTTTACAACTTTCAAAAATTTATGGGAATTGATTATATTATAATATGATGATGGTAAACACATGATGAGGTTTACCCAATTAACCATGGACAGCTTTAACGAATTAATTGATTGATCAAGTTGAGTTTGATTATTGAGCTGAATATTATCGGCTCTTAACTTATAGATAAGCTCATCTAAGACGATGAATACATCATCTGATGATGCTATGTTTTCATTAAAATTGTATTGATTCCCATTGTTTTGTAAAAAAATTGGTGCTATATCAGTCCAAAAGTTCATTGAACAAGCTTCAGATTTATCATTTAATAGACGCTTCAGAGCCCTTACTTTACGGTCTGCAACCATATTAATATGAGTTTGATGTTCAATATGACAAGCTTTGTATGATGATTGATATAAATTTGAGATAGAAAGCCTAAATCGTTATCCTTGATATATAAACAATAAGCATGAGAAGTTAATCGAAATTTGTTAAGGCCACCGCATATAGTTGCTGATCTGTAATACTACATTATATAACTTAAACTGTATAGAGTCTAGACGTATAGTCTTTTAGATAATTGTAGTCATAGGTCTACAATATACCATCATTGAAAATAATATTAACCATATATTCATAGTACTCGACCTTTCAATGTAATTTATATATCAATTTCTCTGCTGATAAAGTTACATTATCCCAATGTTCTTGAACATTATTTAAAAAATCATCAACAATCAGTTTATCTTTTATTCTACCCATAACACTAAGAAATTTATGTTCCAAGTAGCCAATACCTTCATTATCATTTCCTAATAATTCTTTTGAATCCCATTCCCAAGGTTGAAGGAATTTTTTATCAGATTGTAAAAATTTATCAAATAAATTTGAAGATGAATTTGTTGTTGAATCTAAAGTTTGTAAATCTTGCTTTGTATAATTATAATTTTCATTAATTTCAACTTCTTTAAACCAATGATCCATTGATACTGAATCATGATTTTTTTTGATAATATCATGACCTTCAAATAAATTATCACCATGTTTAACACCTAAAGATTTAGCACTTTTACCATATCTAACATCAAGAACACCAGGTGTATAAAGATATGGGATTCTTTGAGATACAGAAGCACCTTTTTCTTTATCAATCCATTGACTTGTAACATCATCTGCAATTAATGGGAATAATGGAGTTGATTCTTTTGAATCGCATTTAAAATCAAATGGTTGTATAAAATCTCTTGAATCTTTCAAACTTTGAATATATTGCCTTTTGATATCATTATTAACATTACATTCAAATAATCCACCAACCCATGTATATGGAGCATAAACCATCATTTGTCTTTCAGCATATTTTTTCCTTCTTGCAAGTTTGAAACATTTCAAATTATTGAGATCTTTGTTACTTAATTCTTGATAACTTATTGGTTCTAAATCTTCTAAATCTGTTACAAGGGAATCTTGTTTATATTCAATAAATCTTGCCTTTGAGGAAATTTTTCTAACTAATGCATTGAAAGTTTGTTTATGCAGATGTGGATCTTTATCTCTTTTATTCAAATCTGATGAAGAAGTAGTAGCAGCGGTATGGTTGAAAAGATTTGATTTGGAAATTGAATGTGGTTTTTTAGAAACTTCATCAATAGTTATAACTTGTTTTGATTTCAGTAAACCAATTTTATCCTTCTGTTTGGCAATATTTGAATGTGAAGGATTAACAGATTTCAAATGTTTACCTTTTGTTAAAGTATCCTCTAATGATGATTTCTTCTTATCACCCTTTTTCTTTTGATCATTATTTGATTTGGATTCTTTTAGATTTATACCATCATCATGATTTAGATCATCATTACCGTTACCTTCTCTGAAAAAACAAATTGGTTTATCCCATTCAATATCAGTTTCTCTACCAGTTCTAATCAATCTTTCATAATTTAATTCCCCTTGGTTACAATGAGATAACGAAACAAAATGTAACATTGGAGGCTTCAAATTCTTAACCATAAATTTCCTATGAATTCTAAAACCTGAGAATGGTAACCATGAATCACCTGTAGCATCACAAATTCGATGTTCTGAAAAGTACCAAGTTGATTCCACACAATTGAAACAGATGAACAAGATGATTGTTCGTACAAAAACCGATATGAGCTTCATCTTTGAAACAACAAAAACCACCTTTCTAAATCCACCATATTCATCACCCGTCAATTGTCATTTCCTTTGGTTTTCTTTTCAAAAGCATTAAAAACCATTAAAATTGTTTTTTGTTATTACACAAAAGAAAATCAAAAATATGGATTACGTAATATTTTTTTGCAATATAATTGAAATTTCAGCAAATACTTTTACTTTTACTTCAGTCAATTCATTCAATTGAACACAATAATTTGGTATTTAATTGGTAATGTCAGTTGCTAGAAAGTTTGCTTCTTTGTTGGGTGAATTATCAAAGGTTTCCAGAAGGAAATCCCCTTTCTCTATTGGACCAGAGATATCAAGAATCATCAAAAACCATGGAGAAGTCGAGTCTAGTTCAATTCATAATAAAGAACAATTGAATATTATGAAAATGTTCACTAGAGCCTTCTTATATGATTCCATCAAAGAAGATGATGAGACTCCTAAAAGTATTGAATCGTCACAATACAAAAATATGGATGTTTTGAAACTACTTTTAAGTACTACAACACCAATGGTTCATCCTGGTACAGATCAGGACCTCATACAAGATGCATTAAACCAATACATTGATCCCCAAGAAGTCAAAAATATTTTGGAAAATGATCAAAATCTGAAAAGTTCTTTGAAATCAACCAGTAGGTTATCTGGTACAGGTGTAACAGACAAGTTCAAACCTATAATCATAACTGAAGCTAAGGAAATCAGAGATGAAGAAATTGAATCAAGATGTAATGATGAAGTGGAAAAACTTTGGAATAGTTTTCAATCAATAAAAGACCCTCAAAAGATATTTGAAGAAATAGACTGGCTTTTTGATGATTTTAATCTTGAACTAAAGAAGCAAGGAAGACTTTTGGATGATTGGAAATTAAAGTATATCGAAAGAAATTCTAAGTTTGAAATCCAGAGAGAAGTTCAAAGCTTAGGAGAGAAAGACTTGAAATTTCTTGAGCCAAAAATAGTTTCAAAATTATTATACCAAAAATTGAAACCATGGAGAGAAGCGGATCTTGAAAATTCTTTAACAAATGTAATTGAATTTGTTATTGATTTTTACGAATTAGAAAACAATTATTCTTCAGACAATGACATTGCTAACGACATTAGAGTCAAACATGAAATTAATTCTGTGTTAATGAAAGATGAAGATGAATTGTGGATGCTTGAGCTGGAACAGTTGAAAGGAAACTACCCTGAAAATGATTTAATAGTCTACAATAAACAAAAATCCACGTCATTAGCAATAAAAGTGAAGAAAGATCAAGATTTAGAAATGAATCTGAAAAGATCAATTGATTATCTAAATGAAGTTACAAATTCAAAGAATAATCAACATGAAGATGGATCAACTACCGAAAAGACCAAAATTGTCAACAAGATGAACCATTCAACAATTAAACTCAACAATTTCATTGAACAAACTGTTCAGAAGTACATGATCAGGGAAAATACATCATGGGGAATGATCAGTAATCTTCGAGAATCATTGATATTTAAAATTGATTGTGACAAAAGTAAAATCATCAAGGTTGATGATGAAGATTACATGGGGATTAGTATTCATTACAAATTTGTTAAGAATTGTGATACTGGATTAACGTTAAAATGGTTGTTATTTTTTGTGATATCAAAACTTAGAGATGGTGAAAGATATTGCAAGCTAGCTGAAAAATTCATCCAAAAGATGCAAGCTTCTCCAAGAAAACACATTGAAAAACCAATGTTAATTGATGGTGATCAGGATCGTGGTTTAGAGCTACTAGCTGAAGATTTAGAATTGTTAAAATTAGGTGATAATATTAGCGCTGATGTGTTTAATTTATCTTATAAAAGCATTTCAAAAACTTTGGAAATTGATGGCTTGAACTCAGTCGATGATCAATTAATATTAAAACTTTATCCAATCCGAATATTTAAAAATTATGATGAAGATTATGATTTAATACAATTAGAAAAAGCAAATAAAGAGGCAAATATCCTCGAATATATAAATGATTATACACAAGATCCTGATAATCGTGAAAGAGTTGGGAGCTTTAATGCTCGAAAGCTTTACAAAAGTGTATTTGTTGAGATATTTGATGAAGAAGATTATTTTGTAAGAGCTGGTTATGGTTTAATCTTAGAGTATATCGATGGTAATATTTATAATCCAAATGATGAACATCAAGGACAATTATTAGATGAACAATTGGAAAGTTTGGCTTGTATGGGATTCAGACGTCATCATGGGTTTATACGTGAAGAAAATATCATTTATAATAAAGAAAATGATTCAA